TTGTAAACTCGAAGGAAGTTCCTTGTTCCTTCGTGAGAAGTCTTGGAGTGCGGTATCTCCGAGCAAAGGTGTTGAGGCTCGTGTGACTCGGGTTCTCAAGTTGTATCGGTTTGTTAAGCACCCTTAAGCTTAACGGAGTTAGTGTAGCTCGAGAGAGTCTCTCGGGGGGCTGGATTAGCCACACGTTGTGGTGAACCAGGATAAAACTCGGTGTGTTCCTTCCTTACGCTCTTTACTTTAATGCTCTCGTTTTAATTTCCTGCGATTTTGTTTTAAACGCTATTCACCCCCCCCCCTCTAGCGTTGGGCATTTATTCTAACAATTGGTATCGGAGCCTTACTCTCTGAAAGACTTAACCGTTTGAGAGAAACGATCAATGGCTTCTACTCAAAACTTATACGCAGGTTTAGGAGAAGGGCAATCCACCACGAGGCCTCCATTATTTGATGGAATGAATTACACATATTGGAAGGAGCGAATGAGAATTTTCATCCAATCCAACAACTTTCTCCTATAGAGAATTATCAAGAATGGGGAAGAAGTGCCCATGAAGAAAGTTGGGGAAACCACCGTTCCCAAAACCGAAGAAGAATACGATGCGCAGGATATCAAGAAAATAGAAAACAACGCCAAGGCTATCAACATTCTTTATTGTGCAGTAAACCCGGATGACTACCGGAAGATCTCTTGTTGTTCCACCGCCAAGGAAATGTGGGACAAGCTCGAAATCACATATGAAGGTACAAATCAAGTCCGAGAAGCTAAGATAGATTTTCTAACCCATGAATATGAATTGTTTCGTATGAAGGAGAATGAGAAAATCGATGAGATGTTTGAACGATTCTCCAAAATCGTTAATGATCTCCATGCTCTCAAGAAGACGTACACGGACAAGGAGCTTGTGAGAAGAATCCTGCGAAGTCTCACACCGGAGTGGCGCTCCAAAGCCGATGCCATTCAAGAATCCATCGGCATCACCAACGTCACCATTGACGGACTTAGAGGTAATCTCAAAACCTATGAGTCTACTATTCTTTATCCCTCTCTAGGTGAACAAAAGAAGAATGGGATTGCTCTCAAGGCATCTACAAGCCAAGAACGTGCTATGGAAGACTCGAGTGACGAAGACGAGTTCGGGATCGTACTCAAGAAATTCCATAAGTTCATGAGCCAAGAGTATGAACGGAAAGGAAAGAAGCAAGGAAGCCCACCCAAATGCTATGGGTGTGGAGAAGTTGGGCATATAAAACCAAAATGTCCAAACGCCAAGAACAAGAAGAAAATGTTCAAGAAGCACCGAGCCTACATCTCATGGGGAGGTGATTCCGGCGACGAGTCATCGGAAGGCGAAGAAAATGAAAGTGCCAACCTTTGCCTCATGGCACACGAGGAACCACCGGAAGAGGTATGTACCACGTCTAAAGATTCCTATACTTTTGATGATGTACAAGAAGCCTTTAATGAACTTTATGATGAATATGTCAACGCTTCTAAAACTAACAAGGATTTGAAGAAACAACTTACTTCCATGGAGAAGAAAGTTGATAAACTATCAAAAGATAATGAAAAACTTAAAGAAGAAAATAAGTTTTTCGGAAAAAGAAGCGCCGACAAACCGGAAAGTTCAGAATGTAGTTCTTGTATATCACTTAAGAATCAAGTTGCAAAACTTGAAGGAACTTTGAAGAAGTTTGGTGTTTCTCATAAAAACCTTAATGATGTTCTTGACAATTTACAACTTACTAAACATGGCTTAGGTTTTGAAAATGAACCTAATAATAATGAAAAAGTTGAGAAACCATCTAGGAAACCTAAAGCTCAACTTAGGAATAATGAAAATCAAGAAAATAGACAACCTAGAACAATTAGGAACACTAGATCACCTAGAAAGAACACTAGGATGAACAATGGTCAAGTTAGAAAACCTAGCAACTATTATCAACCTAGGAGAATGCATAATCCAAATGTTATTTGTCATTATTGCAATAGGGTAGGTCATATAGCTCCCGTGTGTTTTAGTAGGCATAGGCATTGCACGTATAACAAAACACACACTTTGCATGGAACTAACCTAATGAAATCCTTTGAAAAAGGATATTCGAGCTCTAACCAATCCCTGCAGAAATCAATGCAAAAGAAACCATACTACTTCTTCTATTTGATGAAAAGAAGAAGATTCACATACCATTGCCGGAACCCACACAAATCAAACCAAGGTATAGACATTCGGTTCAAGTAGACTGGAACCCGCCAACCACAAATCGACGAGTTGGCCAAGGTAACACTTAAACACGCGTGTTGGTACGTGTGTGCGCGCGTGTGTGTGTTTGAGGGCTATGTGTGTAAGTATGAGTGTGTGTGTTTATCAGTTCAATAAGTCGTGTTACTAATCCTCAAGGACCCAAAAGACCAAACGGGTACCAAATACTTTCATTGCAGGTGTCAAAGTCAGGGGGAACAGAGCAAATCGATTGTTTTTTCACCAGACTTGGTGTAAATCGATTGACAGGCTTGTGATAATCGACTATCACAGCCCGCAGAAGTTTGGAGCCAAGAATCTGAAGGAGCTAAAAATCGATTATCAACATTGAGATAATCGATTATTTGAGGCTGCAGAAGTTCAAAGAAACTCAGACGCAAACTCCAACAATCGATTTACTTAAACCCGTATATCGACTATCGCACCCTGCAGTTCTTTTGGCGAAGAATCTGAAGACTCAGATAATCGATTTACAGTGAGTGTAAATCGATTATCAAGGGCGATTTTTCAAAAATCTGACCGTTGCAGAGACGTTGGAGGAGCATTTAAACCTTGTTTGACCATTCCAACGGATCTCTACACCTCTTCCATTATATATTCGTGATATCTACTTCATTTTTATTCATTCCAATAATCTTCTCTCAATATATTCATCATAATTCATCATTCTTGCAATAGTTCTTCATTTTTTTATAAAATTTCTGCAAATTTGTTCTCTCCTCTCTCTTGTTGCTATGGCAAGCGGTCAAAGAAAGCGTTCCCGCACCGGCAAGAACGTTGCCTCCTCCTCTGCTCCTCCTCCTCCACCGATGCACAAGTACCTCGATGGGTCGTTCCTTTGGTTCAACGACCGCGCAGAGGCGACGCGGTTCTCGGAGAAGTTTGAGCACCGGGAAATTCTCCCTCCCCGATTCTCCACCGCCCGCTTCATTCATGACTCCATTCCACGCGAGGCACGGGTTATCCTCGAACGTGGAAACTTCCTCGATCTCCTCTACATCAAGAAGGTCAATTATCAACCCTTTCTTGTTCGAGCTTTCTACTCGAACTTGAAAAAGGATGAGGACGGAGCATTGATCTCTAACGTCAACGGGGTGGACATCTATTTGAATGAGGAGAACATTCAAATCCTCACCGGGCTTCGTCGGGATGGACAGGATCTCGGGCTCTACGTTGGAGAAGAAGGAGCATGGTTCAACGAGACCGCTCTCTTGGAGGAAGTGGGCAT